TCTAGAGTGGCATGGCCCAAAAATAGGTGATAGATCAAGGGTAAATGGGGAGTGGTTAGGTAGACAGCCGATGTTGAATCTATTGATCATGAACCGTTTGATGGAAATTTGAACATCTTAGTGATGTAGAATTCAGTGATATTGGGCTCATTGGATCTGTCTTGTCGAGCCGCTCGATTCGACTATAAGTTTGCTATATTTGGAAACCATTTGATAATCCAAATTGTGGTTCGAACCTTCCAGCAGCTCTTTGGGTCTTTAATTTGGACCCATTTGGGCTTGGATTGGGTCAAATTTGGTGTCGTTGGGTTTATATTTCTGAGACTCTCAGTTCGACTATAAGTTTGCTGAAATCGAAGTTCAGATGCTCCTAATTTTAATTTCGAAAGTTTCCAACTTGATTTTGCCTTGAGATTCTTGTCCGATCAAGATAATTTTTTTGACGATGTATCAACTATTGATCTCATTTTTATATGAGGTCGATTTCTCCGAGCTGATCTTAAGGCATAGGTCTTCCTAGCATAACAGGCATGCCCAATGGCAGGATTCACCTAAGTGGATGCTTAATGATATAGAATTGACTTGACCCCATAAATTGACCTAAATTTAACCCAATTTGACAAGACTCTAATTTAATTATGATCATAGCTGTGCAATCAAAAGTTGTCAAGTTTATTTGGGTTCGATTCAAATCCAATTTGAACTTGATATGTGTGATAGACATATAAACCATCTCGGATTAATTAGAATTAATTAGATGCCAGATCAGACCATTTGAAGACAATCAAAATTCATGCAAATCGGGCATGATTTAATCAATTCAACATTAATTAAATTAAAATTATCCAACTTCGATGTTATTCGAATTAAATCGGCTTGTCCAAGTTGATTGAAGGCAATCCAATGTTGATCGAAGCATATCGACGCAAATTGACATAATATCGACTTGATTCAAGTTCGATTTAATGTGGGCACCGTCGATTAGCCCAAATTGATGCTTCACGCATTGAGTAAAGCACGTCTGAGTCAAATTAATTTGAAATGAAGTCAATTTAATGCCCGTAGATTTGATTAGCCCGAATAGACTCATTTTAAAAAAAATAATGCCGAATCATTTCTCATTTTAAGGGGCTGTTTGGTTGCCTGAAAAAGAAATGCAGTGTAAAGTAAATGCAATGTAAGGTAAATTTACTGCATTCTAAATACTTTGAGACTATTTGGTTGTCTGCAAAATAAATGCAGGAGAATTGTTTCCCTTTTTTAGTTAGGTATATCCAATGTAAAGTAAAATTTTTTTTCGCATTTTTTATAAAAATATAATTATATTTTACATTTTAACAAAAAACTCAAGAAAAATTTTGCATTTTCGATTAAAACGGAAATTTTTACGTCCCCAAATAAAAAAGTGCACGTTCTTAGAAGATTCTAAGCTGCATAGATTATCCTGTTAATGATAGTTAGTGCACTTTTGGGACGGAAGGGGAGAAGTGGAAGGAAGAGTTCTACTCCCTGCCTGATTGGGCGCGGCTGACCTGGTACTTGATGAAATCGAGGACGAGTTCTTAATGTATTCGAGTTTCGTCGCGATGGGAACGGTTTGGGATGGAAGGGGGGAAGTGGAAGGAATGGCCCCATCCCATTCGTAGATGTCGGTGACGAGGTTGTAGAACGTGTCTACAAAGGTTCATACCTTTTCCGATGACTCGACAGTGTCTTTCGGCCGGCGGAAGAAAGACCAGTACTGCTTATATTTGTCCTGGACTTTGTCTTTAGTGATCGATCTCATCTTGAGATCTACTGCTCGTTTTCCATTCACCTCCGCGGAGCCCATGACTCATATAAACCAGTACAAAATTCCTTTGATGAATACCGCCGCCGTTGCAAGCAGCTCAGCCGTATCCATCGTCAGAATGCAAAAGACCGCACGGATCGCTCCTTCCTTTCCTTCGTTGCTATTCGACTTTGGCTCCCTCTTGGTTGTTCGACTTAACTCTTCGCAGGAGGGATGGCACAAGGCTGGTTCTCGAGCGAAGAGTTTCAAACCCGCTCATTTTGAGCGGCTTTTGAAGTCGTGTGATCCACCTCCCATAATACACGCCTAATGCTTCGGAGGTTTCCTTTTGTTCCGCTCATAATTAACCAAACAGTCGAATTTAGTAAATACATGTATTTATTTTACTTTACTCTACTAATTCAGACAACCAAACAGCCCCTAAATATAACCAAATTCATTCGAACTCGTTGTTTATTTCGCCAATTTCATCCTGAATTAATCCTTCATGCGCTTTCAAATACGGCATTTAGTCCCGGCCGTTAATTTGCGAGGGAAAAATCGTATTTATTGGGCCGTTTGACGGGGCGGTTCAGGCATGGCTTCACACGGTCTAAAGGGGGCAGTTAGGGTAGAGTTTAAACCCGATTCTTAAGCCTTCTCGTGGCCGTTCGCAACCCACTCCATCCGCCTCCACAGCGTGTAAAACCGTCTCTCTCTCTCGTTCCTACGTTTCTCCTCCCTCCCGTCCGACCCTAAGGTACGTAGAAGCTTGCCGCCGGCTCTTTCCTTCTGTGATTTTCTTGGCCGAAGACAACAGGAAGTGGTAAATTCTCTTCCTTCTTTCTTTTTCTTGTTTTTATTCCTTTTCCTCTTCTTCTTCTTTTTACCATTATTATTTTTTTTATTTTTTATTATTTTTTTATTCTTCTTGTTCTTCTTCTTCTGTAATTTTTCTTCCTCTGTTTTTGTTCTTACTCTTCCCCATTTGAAAAGCTGCAGCAATATATAGTTCCTCTTCAAGACAAGAAGTGTTAAATGTTTGTTTTGTCAATTATGTCATCTAACGGAGTTTTCTTTCTTGTTGAACCAACTTATTGCACTTGATTTTTTTCTCTTGTAAATGAACATATTTCTTTTTATATTAGTTTTCTTCTCTTAAAACTGAAACGACTGAAACGGGAAAGAAAAATAAATTTAAGGTAAAATCAATCTTGCTATATGAATGAAATTTGTATATTTATTTCAATTTATATACCTTCCAATATACAAATGTTATTTTAAAAATTTGAATCGGATCGTTTCATGAAATGTAAATAAAGTTTTATGTTTTCATTTATATTATTTGGAGTTAAAAGCTGTATACCCAAAGGGGGTGTTTGGTATCGGATTTATTTTGATTTTTAAGCAGGATTTACGGTAAATACAGCCAAACGCAAAAAAAGTCGCGTTAAATCCCGCAAATCCGTAAATCCTGGATTTGCGAATTTACGGCGTAAATCCGCTAAATCCCGGTAAATCCTAATCCAGCTAGAAGTCGGATTTACGGGATTTGGCCGAAGAACCGCGCGAAAGGGAGAAAGTTACCTTCACAGCGAGCGAGCGAGCTCTCGTCGTTGCTTCAGATCAAAATGTTGTAACGTCCGATCCGACAGGAAGGGAACGTCGTCGAAGGAGCGAAGTCGAACAACAACGAAGGAGCCGAAGAAGCGACGATGAGGTGGAATGGAGTAAGCAGTGGCTTTCTGCTGCTGGTTTTTGGTGCTGTTAAAGTGCTGGAGGTTATGAGGGTGTATGAGAGAGAGAAATTAAAATTGGGATTCAAGTTTAGAGCTGGCTTAGTATCCTATTTGAGAATTCTGATGATTAATTTAGTTCCCTCATTTTGTTATAAACTTTTAGAATTGAAAGATAATTGCAGTAGCTAACATTTTTTTAGCATTTACTGTTTTATACTTGAATGCATTACTGATTGTGATTAAGTATTTACTAAGTAAGCCTGCATGGAATACTGATGTATAATTAGTGTATAAATTAATTATCTAATTTAACTTAATTAAATAGTTTGTAATATAATTAGTAATTAAAAATTAATATAATTATCTTAATTAATATAATTTAAAATATATATTATTAAACATATAATTAATAATATGAATAATAATTAAATAATTAATAAGCAGTAGAATTCTTAAGTGATTAATGAAATACTTAATAATAAAATTTATAACTAAAATTACTAAAATAGTAAGTAAATTATTAATTAAATAATTAGTAGGATTATTAGTTAAATAAATAGTTATTTTCTTGATACCAAACAACTATAACTTGATGCGGAAGCAAATTAAGTGGCTTCATATTACTCCTTTAATTTTAAATGTCCAACCATTTTAAATCCTGTTATATGTTGCCAAACATCTTTTTGGATTTAATAGGATTTAAAAATTGTCATACCAAACACAATTCAGGATTTAAGAGCCCAGGATTTATTAAATCCGGATTTACAAGATTTAGTAAATCCTACTAAAATTGAATCCAATCCTATACCAAACACCCCCAAAATCTGTAATGTTTATGATTTATACCTTACAATTGACAATTCAAAGTGTTGTGTATAGATTATGACAAGCTATGTCATTCTCTATCAAATATATGAAAGGTGTTTGAGTTTATGTCTATTAAGAAATGGTACACATTTTGATCAAATAAAGAGCCATTGGTTAAGCACATTTATATTTCATTTCATTCTTGCTTCCAAGAAATTTATGAATAAGAGAAAGATAAATGGGCTGTTTGGTATGCAGAATTAGGAGAGTAAAGTAATTTAATTACGCGCATTTCTTAAATTATGTCATTTGGTTGATTTTGAGCGAAACATAAGGAAGTCCTCTGAAGCATCAGTGGTGTATTACAGGAGGCCGTTCGTGCGACTTTGAAACCCACTCAAATTGAGCGGGTTAGAAATTCTCTCGCGCGAAATAATGCAAACCAGCCTAACACGCGATGGTTTCGTGGAATCTGAGCTTATAAGTGCTCCCTTCTTCTCCGTTCTTCCCATGCGCGATGATTTCATGGAATCAAAGCTCTCTCCCTCTCTCAAAGTCGAAGCCTTCTCTCCCAGCTCCCTCTATTTACACGAGCACAGGGGGCGAACCTTTGTTTCGCCACCTGGCTCCTCCATTCGCGGCAGCCAAGGATTTAACGCCCCCAACCGTTCGTCGCCCTTCCTGTTCGTCGCCCTTCCTGTTCGTGAACCAGGCCAGGACTTGTTGATTCCATCGCCGTCCGCACACCAGAACCGGACCAAACGCCGACCCCTCTTGCTTCCGTTGCTGACCTGTCCGCCCTCCTCTACACCAGGTATATCTTCTTTTTCCTCTTCCTCCCCTTTCCCTTCTTCTTACTTTGTCTCTTCTCCTTCCATAAATCTTTAAACTTGCTTTGCCTTTGTTTTTTCATGGAGTGTGAGCCCTACTTTGTCTTTTTTGGATAACTGTGAAACGTCGTCGCCAGACATCAAGGCATATGTTTCACAGATCCTTGTAGAGGAAATTAGAGTTCTCACTTCGAATGATTGCATGATAAGATAGGTCAAGGCATAAGTTTCAGAAAAATCTGTGAAACATATGCCTTGATGCCTTGAATGTATGAGATTTTCATGTTTATTTTTTATTTCTCGTAAATTTTTTCTTGATAACATTTGATTATTTTTTATTTCTCTTTTATTCAAGCATTGTCTGCAGGAATAACAAGTTAAAATCAATAATTTATGTTTCCAATTTGTGCTTTAGAAAATGCTGCTTAGATTTGTCCTATCATTTCTTTCCTGGCATCAAATGTGGTTTGGGATAATTTCTTATCATTCACATTAGAGGAAGTAGTCAATTTTTTGGAGAGAACTCTCAATAAGGTGCGTGGTTTTTCAAACTCTCCAACACCATTTCATGAATAGTTTTGAAATAAAGCTTTATATATAGTCTTGTGCAAAAGAACTTGAATTTTTGTCATTATTGTTGCACATAACCCCCTTTCATGAAATATTGCTCATGGATCTTTTTTTGCTTGAAGTTGAATTTTATAGTTACAAAGATGGTTGAGCCATTGGAAGATTTTGCTGAACTCCTTAAAATTCAAAAAATATAATAATGTCCTGAAAGTGATTTATATTGCAATTAGTACATTATGTGTACTATTGCAGCAAATTCACAAAGAAAAAAAATATAATCCTCAACGGAATATACAACGTGACACATATCTAGGTTATATAATGTATGTGATTATGACTGTGTTGACATAATATGCATGAGTAGAGTGCCTTTTCTCTCAAATTATGTGATTTAATGCATACACGAGGATTGTTGTTAGACATAATAAATGTTAAAATCGAGAAACAAGTTTCTATGTTATTACATACACTCGGGCATAGTGTTCATAACCGAGTCATCTGATTTAACTTTAAACGTTCCGGTGAAACTGCTAGTAGGTACTTCAAAGCTACATTACATGCTGTAGGGGAGTTACGCCATGAGTTTATCAAGCCTCCATTTCCTGAAACTCCATATAATATTAAATCAAATAATAGGTTCATGTCATTTTTTAAGGTATAATCAATCTTCATTCAATTAAAATATTTCTTTTATTACATTATCCTAAATATACTTTGTGTCAAATTTAGGATTGTATTGGCGTTATAGATGGAACTCATATTAAAGCTAGGGTTCCAAAGGAGAATGACACCGCATTTAGAGGAAGAAAATCATACCTGACCCAAAATATTTTAGCAGCAATTAACTTTGATTTGAGGTTCACATACGTGCTTGATGGTTGGGAAGGTTCTGCTCATGACGTAGCAGTACTTAAAAATGCATTAGAAAAATCAGATGATTTATATGTCCCAACAGGTAAATATTATCTGGCAGATGATGGCTACTCCACATGAAATGATTTTATTTCCCATTATCGTGCCACAAGATATCACTTGAAGGAGTTTAGTTCTATTCAACCTATAAATTCTAAAGAATTTTTTAATTTACGACATTCCTCGTTACGCACAATTGTTGAGCGTGCATTAGGTTCTTTGAAAAACCGTTTCACAATTATAAACCGTGAACCCTATTTTCCTCTACAAACTCAAGTTGAAATTGTGATTGTATGTTGCATATTGCATAATTGGATAGTTACAGAAGGTGACGATGAGTTCATTCAATTCGAGGATGAATGAGATAGGAGAAGTCATTGTAGAAGAGGAGATCAAGCAGCTGTAGATGATTCTTGAGAATGGCTAGATAAAAGAGATGAAATTTGCTCAATTCACGTGGACTCTCATGCAAAATAATGGATACTAGATTTGTTGATTCTTGTGATATTTTCTTATTTTTCTTTAAAAAAATATTGGTGAAAAGAGACTTATTAGGAGGTGGAATATTTGGTTGGAGTAATCACGGTTTTAGACTCATCTTTAATGCTTCAGTCGGTGTGGTGGAATACTTGTTATGCCTTGGACAATGATAACCTTCCCTTATATTGCCAGACCGACTCCCCTTGGATGGCCAATTTGGGCAACCAGGAGCTTTATGACCCTTTCTCTGAATATGACAATTTGAAAAAAAACTGAACATGTTAATCTAGGCTTGTAGTGTTGAAATGTACGAACTGGTGGAAGGATCATTTATTTACACTTAATTCTACTAGTTTACAATATTATAGGAAAAAGTATATGTGAATTGTGCTTATGTTTTATTGTGATGATGAACCAAAATGTTTTTGGTGATACTGTCTTTTTCAATTATGATGGATAAAGTAGTGGTTCTCAATTCCAATTTCTAGTTTCATCGCTGCCTAATAGCAACTGTATTTAGGTTAGTGTATCATATTTTGGAGATCTTCTGTACATTTAGAGACTTTAATAACTTATTTATGAGTTGGTCATGCATATTTACTACTGGAATACTCTTTTTTAAAATTGATTGATTTAATGGAATGATATCCTCATCAATTACATAGTTTAATGGTTTCATGTGTAAGTGCATGATAAATCAAGTGACATTGCGGGTGCTTATAGCATATATTTTTTATTTGCTGTCAACTCATTGATATTTGACTATAATTTTTTGAAATCTATGTTAGAAAAATTATGACAACAGATTAATTCTATAGTGCTGATACCTAATCTTCTGTAGCTACTAATGCGTGATAGTCAATTCAGTGTTGGGTTATCATCGAGTACAATAATAAAATCTAAAGATGATCAAAATGAAATCACATTGGCAAAAAAAAAAAAAAAAAAAAAAAAAAAAAAAAAAAAAAAAAAAAACACAAGGAAAATAAAATAAAACTTCTTCAATATGGTAGTAATTTACTGCAGTAAAGCTAAGCGATGGTAGTGAAAAGGTGCAATGCAATCATTGTAAAGTTAAGAGGTATGGTGATAGTTTGTTACTTAAGTTAAAAGGAATTGGTAAATGCAAATATGGAAATGAGGTGGATTTTGATACCTATGATGCGGCTTTGAAGTAGTATATAGAGCCATTCACATTTAATTATTGAATTCAATGTTGAAAAAATTGGCAGTAGATTTGGTATTGTAAACTATTTGATTAATACGAACTCATGAATGTTTGGATTCACATTTAAGAGGTAAGGCGAGTAAGCAAAATGAGTGGCTTGTTTGTTTTCTATTTCTTTTTTATTTTGCCAGGTGTGTTCCTAATTCTGATCTTCTAGCTCCTATGGTTTTGTGTGAAAGGATGCTGCTCAAAGTTAATCTCTTTATCCTTTCTGATTTTCATCAACATCTACTAATATACAGAGCCATTCATAAATTATTTTATGTTCAAGACTTAAATTTATTTATCATATTTCCTTTAAGGGAGAATGAATTCTTCACAAACAGAGATGAACGGTGCTTCGAAGCCTAAGAGAATTTTTTTTTTATGGAGCTTAAAACCTGAGTGAATATTTGGATTGCTTCAAATAATGATGGAATATATAAATGTAAATATGCGAAGTGCCTAAGGTTTTAAAGACTATGTATCAAGGTGCCATCCAGAAAATGAAAGAGGTTTGGAATAAAGGTGATAGGTGAGTAATGCAAGAACCAAATAAAGTATTAAAGAAGTGTTTTGATTCACATTCAGGAGTTAAAATGAAAATTAGGTGTATCTTGGGATAAAACAAAGAAAATGATAATGATGAGTCATGAAGAGTATGCATCACATATTCAGGTATTACTTTAAGTACATCATTTAAATTGATATTTAGGGCTATCAACTTTTATTTTATTCTTTATAGGCTTTTTCTAAGAATGCTGCTTATTTAAATATTGCAATTGCAAATTATGTAGAGTTATATATAGTATGTGGTTTTGGACATGCATCTGGAGAGTGGGCGAAATTTGAAAATTCTCAAACTCCACTTGGAACTCAACAAATACATTTAGGCGATGATGAACCCTCACAATTTACGGATGTTAATGTAGATGGATCAATGCCTATTGAGTGGCCTGATATACAAGTTATGAAAGATTCTACGGCAACAACAAATAAATCATTGTCTTCATCTGATATAGGAGGTGTCATAAAAAGGAAGTCTAAGACATCTGCTATCGATCAAAATATCTATGAATATATTTGTTTGATTGATGATAATGTGAATGAAGTTGCTAATATTATCAAGAGCTCAATAACATCTCCAAAGCAAATTATAAATATGTATACTGAACTGATGTTTGAGTTAATAAATATTTCTGCTTCTCAGAAGAAGAGGTTGATACGAAATATGATAATTTATCAAAAAATCATACACTGATACTATCTTTCCTTTCAGAACCTACATATTCGAAGGCTAGATGGAAGCGTAAAGAATTAAAAAACTGATTTAAGTTGTTGAAGATTGACATATCTATTAAATTGTTATCACTAAAAACTATTCCGTGTTACTTTGACATAATTATAATTAAAAATAATTGATATTATTTTATCTTTTATTTTTAAATTGTAAATTTTCATTAATGTTGTTTACATCTTATGAATGAAAATCATGTAATTTATTGACTGCTAAATAAAAATAATTCTTTTTATCATTAAATTAAAGAAAGAAATAATTGTGAAAATTTTATTAGCTGAATTTTTTTGTAAAACATTACTTGAAAAATAAAAAATTTAAATTTTTAAAAAATTAAAATTATAATTTATTTCTAGCAGAAGTATATTTATGTTTATTACAGCACCCTGCTCTGTTTGGTTGTCTGCAAATTAAATGCAGGAGAATTGTTTCCCTTGTTTGATTAGGTATATTCAGAGTAAAGTAAAATAATTTTTTTTAATAATTTATTTTTAGCATTACAACTAGTGTATTAATAAAAGTAATATATTTATAATAATTAGTTTTATTTGATATTATAAAATAAAATTAATGTATTCATTTATTGCATAATCTTATTATAATTTTTTATTATAAAATATAAAATTCTGTTGTGTATTAATTTAGTAGCGTGCTGCAATAGACGAAAATATGCTTGTGATAGAGAAAAAATTTAATTTTAATTCTTTGTAAATTTTAAATTCTTATTTTTCAAATAATGTTTTTACTAAAAAATTGCAGAAGAATAAATTTTCAAACTGATTTCTTTCTTTAATTTAGCAATAAAAATAATTGTTTTTGATTACCAATTAATAAATCACATGATTTTCATTCATAACATGCAAACAAAATTAATGAAAATTTATAATTATTAGCCAAAAGATAAAACAATCATTGTTCGTAATTATAATTACAATAATGTTATATGAAATAATTTTTAGTGATAACAATTTAATAGATATGTCAATCTTCAACAATATAAATTAATTTCCTAGCTCCTTACGCATTTATCTAGCTTTCGAATCTGTATGTTTTGAAAGAAAAGATGATATCAGTGTAGGATTTTTTGATAAATTATCATATATCGTATCAACCTCTTATTCTGAAAAGGTATAAATATTTGTTAACTCAAACGTCAGTTCAATATACATATTTCGAATTTGCTCTTAATAGCGTTAGCAACTTCATTCACACTATCGGTTATCAAACAAATACACTCACAGATATTTTGATCGATAGCAAATGTCTTAGGCTTCCCTTTTATGCTACCTCTTACACCAGATGAAGGCAGCTGTTTCTTTGTTAAGCCGGTAGAATCTTCTATAACCTGCATATTAGACTATTCAGTAGGCATTGATCCATTTGCACCTACATTCGTAAATTGTGAGGGTTCATCATCGCATAAATATATTTGTTGAGTTCAAAGTAGAGTTTGAAAATTTTCAGATTTCGCCCACTCTCTAGTTGCATGTCCAAGAACACATACTATCTTCAACTCTACATAATTTATAATTGCAATATTTAAATAAGCAGTATCTTTGAGAAAAGCCTGTAAGTAATAAAAAAAATTGTTAGCATCAAAATATCAATTTAAATGATTTGCTTAAAGTAATAGCTGAATATGTGATGCATACTTTTCTTGACTCATCACTATCATTTTCTTTGTTTCATCCTAAAATACATTTGATTTTCGTTTTAACTCTTGAATGTGAATCCACACACTTCTTTGATACCTTATGTGGCTCTTGTATTGCTCATTTGTCACCTCTATTCCAAACTTCTCTTTCATTTTCTGTGCAGCACTTTGATACACAGAGTCTTTGAATCCTTGGGCACTACGCACATTTGCATTTACATATTCCATCATTATTTGAAGCAATCCATTTATCCATTTAAATTTTAAGCTCCATAAAAAATTTTTCCTCTTGGAGTTCAAAGTACCGTTCATCTCTGTTTGTGACGAATTCATTGTCCCTTACAAAAATATGATAAATACATGTAAGCCCTGAACAGGACGAAATTTATGAATGGCTATGTATACTACTAGATGTTGGTGAAAATTAGAAAGGATCAAGAGATGAATGTTGACAAGCAACCTTTCACACAAAAAATCATATAAACATAAAATTTGGCTAAATATTTGAATTTAGTCGGCATATATTCAGTAGAGAAAAATGTAAAATAATTTAGAAAGAATAGCGGATACTCTTTTTAGCAAACTAAAATAATGCATCTTTTGTAAAAGCCGATTCACTCTGATAGCACCACAAAGTAGCTTAAAGTGGCAGTGTAACTAAGGCTTCGTTTGGGACGGCTTTTTATTGCTTTATAAAACGGAGTTTTAGTACAAAAATAAAAAATTTTGTACTAAAACTCCGTTTTAGAAAGCAGTAAAAAAGCCGTCCCAAACGAAGCCTAAAACTACAATCATGAAGACAGTACTATGGAACTATAGCATAAAGGATATGAAGTAGTACCATCCATTGTAGGTTGCTAGAAAATAAATCGAAATGAGGAAAAAAAAAAAATTAAGCTTCAGATTATGCATCTACATTTTTCTTCTTTCCTTTCATATCCTTAGTAAATTGACAATGACTATTCCTAACAAGCGAGCAACATCATGCTTCACAATTAACGCCTGTAATCAAGTCTGAATGTAGCAACATTTATCTGGCTCGTGGGCCAACATTGCAATGTTGCAATATAAAACCAAACTATAGATGCTTCATGAGCTAATTTCTCTAAAAGATAGAGCATAAATTTATCACTATAATGTAACTTCCCATACCAAATTAACTGCAGAGATGCATACGAAGATTGTTTTAAATATTCTATGCCTCAACAGAGTCAGAAATAATATTCTATGCCTCAAAGGTTCAGTTCATGAGACTAACAGCCTCACACATCTAATTGATTCATCATTCTTGTCAACTGAATTATGAAATTTTTTGAAATAAGCAAATAAAATCAAATGAAAATTCAAGCAAAACAATAAAGTATAACTTAAAATTAAAATGCAAAGACAAACTATTAAATTCACTTGAATGTCATTAGAGAATAAAAAAATCCCCTAGAATGTCTCCAGCTTCATTGTAAAAAGACCCTTCACTCAAAAAGATAAAACAAATGAACAAACACCATCAATTAGGAATCTTTCTTTGCAATAAATCAAATGATTCAAGCAACAATGAAATATAAGAAGACCCATGAAAATTATAACTCATTCAATCACATCAGGGACTTCAAAAATAGATTAACAAACCATTTCAGCATTCTACAAGACTTAACAATTAGGCAAGTCAGAAACTTCTTTGCCTCAAAAGTTAAGTCAAGAGCACAACTGGCCTCACACAACTACTTGATTCTTTATGCTTGCCAGCTAAAAATATTTAAATTCCAATCTAGAGCAGTAAACCCAAAATATATATTAAAAATCATATAATTATTAAAATATGCAATAATTAATATAAAGATTTTAGATTCACAAAAAAACAAATATAGAAATTGAAAGTTTGAGATAAGTAAGCAAAAAATGGCTTCACACAGCTCCTCAAATGTCTTCCAATTCCTTGCACCGAGACTTTTCATGAGACTTTCAGCAAGATACACTCAAAAGGGATCAGAAGAAATAACAAGTAAATACTATCATCCTAAAAAGATAGATGGAAAAGGATCCAAAGAAGAAAGCTTTAGATCCTTTATTATTTATGAACCTTTATTCAAAATAATTTAAGCAAATATAAGTACATGAACAAGACTTTTCCCCCAATAATCACCATGAAAGCTGCAAATCCATATGATTCAACCTTAACCAATATAATCAATAAAACCACAAAGTAGAAATTAGTTAATTATAGTTAAATTCATAAAAAGGAAATCAACAAATCTAGTAGCCATCATTTTGCATGCGAGTCCAAATGAATTGAACAATTTCCTCTCTTTTATCTAGCCATTCTCGAGAATCATCTATAGCAGCTTGATCTCCTCTTCTACAACGACTTCTCCTAGCACATTCATTCTCAGATTGAAAAAAATTATCGTCACCTTCTGTAACTATCCAATTATGCAGTATATAACAGACAAGCACAATTTCAACTTGAGTTTGAAGAGGAAAGTAGGGTTCACATTTTATAATTGAGAAACGGTTCCTCAAAAAAAGCAAATGCACGCTTAACAGTTGTGTGTAATGAGGAATGACATAGATTAAAAAGTTTGTTAGAATTTGTAGGTTGAATAGAACTGAACTCCTTCAAGTGATATCTTGTGGCACGATATGGGAAAATAAAACTATTTCGTGTGGAGCAGCCACTATCAGCCAGTTAATATTTTCCTGTTGGGACATGTAAACCATATGATCTTTCTAATGCATTTTTTAGTATTACTGCGTCATGAGCAGAACCTTCCCAACCAATAAACACGTATGTGAACCTCAAATCAAAGTCAACTGCTGCTAAAACATTTTGTGTTGGGTATGATTTTCTTCCTCTAAATGCGGCTTCGTTCTCCTTTGGAACCCTAGCTTTAATATGAGTTCCATCTATCGCGCCGATATAATCCAAAATTTGAGACAATATATTTAGGATACTGTAATAAAAGAGAAAACGTGCAAGTTGAATAAAGATTGATTATATATTGAAAAATGGAATGAACCTATTACTTGATTTAATCATATATGGAGTTTCAGGAAGTGGATGCTTGATATACTCATGGTGTAACTCCCCTACAGCATGTAATGCAGCTTCGAAGTACCTACTAACAGTTTCACCATAGCGATGAAAGTTAAATCGGATGACTTGGTTACGAACACTATGCCTGAGTGTATGTAATAACATAGCAACTTATTCCTCGATTCTAACATTCATTGTGTCTAACAACAATCCTCGTGTATGCATTAAATCACATAATTTGAAAAAAGGCACTCACCTCATGCGTACCATGTCAACACAGTCAGAATCACGCCCGTTATATAACCTAGAAAGATATGTGTCACGTTGTATATTCTGCTGAGGATCATTTTTTTTTCTTTGCGAATCTGCTGCAATAATACACATACAATACTAATTGCAATATAAATCACTTTCAGCACATCATTATATTTTTGAATTTCATGTAGTTCAACAACATCTTCCAATGGCTCGACCGTCTTTGTAAGAAATAGAAGTTCTGAATTTTGTAAGTTGTACTGAATTTCACCTAAATACTGGATGCAAACACCAATACCATACAACATTACAGTTCAATGCAAGCAATAAGAATTCTATGTATAATAAAAGACGTTATGTGATAAAGAAACATCCCATTCTCTAAACAGATTAAATGTAATACAATTTTTGGATTGATTAATAGCTTTGTTAGAAACACAAGAAAACAATAATGCAAACTTAACATGGTTGCTGTCAACAAAGCTGAAGATGAACAAAGCACCTCAGAAAATAAAACGTAAACAACAAAAGGCAAACCTTATGCAGTAATCTGAGGTTTTTGGTCGATAAAATTTATAAAAGAGCCTCTGAAAGAGCAGAATCTACAGCCTATGAAAAACAGTATCACTGTATAAGGATTTGCCTGATAAAATCATAATCATAGGCATTCTGGCGTTACGAACAACAACATTTATGCAACTAAGAAAGACATTGCTTGATTAAGAACATGCTGAGCAGGAAGTCTCATACTTCAGCAACCATTTTGATCACAGAATATCTAATAATTGCATTGTGTAGTTGTATTGAGGTTCTGGATTAAAAAATACTTAAAGATATGAATGAACAGTAAGTACATGGCATATTAAATATAAGTAATGGCATGATGAAGATATGAATGAACAGTAAGTACACGGCATATTAAAGATAAGTAATGGCATGATAACTGAACAAAAGAAATTATAATAAATCACCTATGAAATATAAAAGAAAACAAACTTAACAAGCAAACTAAATGGCAACAAGGGCTTAAAAACGATACAAATAAACAAAACGGAGCAATTGAGTCATGTTGCAATGCCAAGGTAGTAGTATTAAAACTCAATAAGCAGGGAAAATTAAGAGCAAGTAATTTTCAAATCATACAAGAAAACCAAGGCTCAGTCCTTTTTTCTTATATATAAAAAGTAATAAAGAAAAAGGGTTTCAATTCTATACATGATTGCTGACAAAAAATTGCTGAAGCTAAAATATTAAGTTTCCCCAAAAAAGAAACAAGATAATTGAATACTGCAACAAATTCACCAATGATAAAAAAAGAAAATAAATTTCAATTCTCTTGATTAAAAAAAAAATGATGAATCACTCCATCGAAATGATAGACGAAGGACCTGCAAGCTGCACCTACCTGTAAATGAGAAAACTAAATGGCCTATAATTCTTTTCAGTCCTATAGTTCGGCGATTTTACAGGATTTGGAAGAATAAGCTCGCGGAAGGTAGAAAGTTACCTTTACAGCATGCGGGCTCCCATGTTGCTTGCAAAAAAAATGTTCTAACTTTCGTTCCGATCAGGAAGGGAATGACGTCGACAGGGCGAAACTGACCAGCAACGAAGGTGGCAAAGAGGCTTGCGACTAGGGTTTCCCAGTTAGCAAACTCTCGACTGGCCTCCGATCAAAGTGTCGTATCTTCCGATCCGATCGGAAAGGAATGCCGTCAAAAGAGCGAAGTCGATCAGCAACAAGGGAGGCAGAGAAAATAGGTAGCTGGGAATGAAGGGTTCGGCTTCGCGAGAGGGAGAGAGATTCGATTCAGCGAAACCATCACGCATGGGAAGAATGAAGACGAAGGGAGCACTTATAAGCTCAGATTTCGCGAAACCATTGCGTGCATATGCTAATTTGCATTTCTTCGCACAACAGAATTTCAAACTCGCTCAGTTTGAGCGTGTTTTGATATGGCATGAACGACTGTCTGTAATACACTGTTGATGCTTCGGAGGACTTTTTTATGTTCCGCTCAAAATTAACCAAACAACTTAATTTAAAAAATGTGTGAAATTACTTTACTTTACTCTCCTAATTCTGCATATCAAATAACCCCTATATTTACTTTACACTGCATTTTCTTTTCAGGCAACCAAACAGTCCCAAAGAAATTTTATATATGCATACATGTTACAAATGATAGTCATATACAAAAAAACACTTGGAAAGGGCACTTAGTTGTTCGAGGGAAAATGTGTGTTGTACGTAGTTGAGAGAGTAGTTGCTGAATAGTTGAGGAGTGATTGCATGTAATGAGGAGTCATCCACGTAGATGAGTAGGAAAATCTAAACTTCGGCTTTGACGTAGAGGAGAAGAGAGGGATCTGCTTTGCTGAAGGTGAAGCCAAATGCTAGGAGGAATGAAGTCAGCTTATTGTTCCATTCCATGGGAGCTTGTTTTAGACAATAGATGGCCTTGTGGAGTTTGCATACATGCTTGGGGTGTTGAGTATCGACGAACCCGGGGGGTTGATGCATGTATATTTCATCATGAAGTTCCCCATGTAAGAAGGCATTGGATATGTCGAATTGTAGGGTGGGCCAGTTGCGATGAAGAGCAACAAGGAGAAGGATGCGGATGGTCGGTATTTTGGACACTGGGCTAAATGTCTCACTGTAGTTAATACTGAATTCCTGATTAAAGCCCCGAGCAACTAGCCTAGCTTTGTACCTCTCTATTTGACTGTTCAGAGCATGTTTGATCTTGAACGTCCACCTGCAACCGAGGACATTGGCATGGGGTGGTGGGGGGTTGGTGGTACTAGCAACCATGTGCCTTGCTTTTGGAGAGCAAGAAACTCTTATGACATAGAATCCCTCCAATGTTTGGATTTTATAGCTTGGGTGTAAGTGTTGGGAGAAGTAGCTGATGTCAGGTTGGTGAGCAGATCAAAGATACGCTTAGGACATTGGATGCCCATTTTGAGTCTAGTTTGCATTGGATGGGTGGAGGTGGTAGGAAGTGTTGGAGGTTGTGGTAAGTGGATAGGTTGAGGTGGTGAAGGAGGGAGCGTGTAGTTGTTGGATAGATTTTGAGAAGTGGTTGGAAATTGAGTAGTAGCTGGAGAGGCGGGAGGTTGTGTAGTTGGAATCAAAGTTGTAGGGGCATTTTAGGGTTTAGGTTGAGTGGAAATGAGAAGAAGTAAATAAGGAGATTCTGGTGAATCTGTATGAGAGATGGAGGTGCTTGTGGGTGTTGATGATTGGAGAGATTTATATGGGAAGATATGTTCATGGAAGATTACATGTCGTGAGATATGTAGTTTATTGATAGTGAGGTTTAGACACCGATAGCCTTTTTGGGATGTATAGTAACCTAGAAAGAGACACTCTTGAGAGCGTGGAGAAAATTTAGTTGGTGCTAAGGGTTCAGGCTAGGGAAGACAGAGGCAGCCGAAGCTTTTTAGGTGAGG